ACATATTAATGCCTCTGGTATTTGATGGTATAAACTCAAGTGTTGGAAATACCAATACTTCATGGCGTATCGCTATGATAATTCCTGCTGGACTTTGCATAATCGCTGGATTATTAAATATATTTTTTGCCGATGACTATCCAGGTGGTGATTGGCTTAAACGAAATAAGACTTTAGAAAATGGTAATCTTGAAGTTGAAGATGTTCACATCGCCAGTGAAAAGAAAATTGATAATTATAATGTTGATAATTCCGAACAGGATAAACCTAAAAAAACGGGAAAACTCGCTGAATTGTTAAGAGCATTTTGCAATCCATTTGTCTTAATTATGATGATACAATATGCTTGTACATTTGGTGTTGAATTGGCTATTGATAATGTTATTGGTGGCTTCTTTATCAATCAGTTTCACCTTCAAAATACAGGTGGTAATTTTATTGGTGCGGTTTTCGGTCTCATGAATCTCTTTTCTCGAGCAACTGGTGGAATATTGTCTGATTATGCAAACAAAAAAATTGGAATACGTGGCCGTTTATTGACCCAATTTTTAATCTTATTATTTGAGGGCATATTCTTAATAATATTCGGATTTACTGCTGATACTATAGCATCGGCCATTGTTATTATGATTTTCTTTAGTTTCTTCACTCAGGTAATTAATTATTTTTATATATTCACATGTATATATTCATCGAATTTTATTCAATATAATTAATATAATTAAATTAATTAAATTACAGGCGGGTTGTGGTTCATCATACGGTATAGCACCCTACATAGATCCCCCAATATATGGTACAGTTGCAGGATTAATAGGAACTGGTGGTACTATTGGTGGTATAGTGTTTAATTCAGTATTCGCACGTTATAGCGCTGCAATCCCACAAGGATTCGTGGTAACCGGAATAGTGGTTGCTTCTGTTTCATTCACTACTTTCCTTCTGAGAGTTACAGACCAAACGTTAATTACAATAAAAAGATCAAAGTAATCCTTTTTTTTCTATGTCAAATAATATTTTCTCATAACGCCGAAAATTAAAAACTTTTAAGCGAATTTACATAGAACATTTTATAGCAATTGTGCAACTTTCACTTTTTTTTTTTTTATAATCGTTAATTAAAATTGTATAACAAGTAGGATTTCTTGCTATGTCTTCTTTTTTCACTCTTTCATAATTTAAGTATACGGTTTTATAACATCATCTATTGAATTTTTTATTGTCATAATTAAAAATCTTACAAAATTTAACGTGATTTTATCACGAGATTTATGGGTAGGATTTAAAATATAAAATAAAATCACATGAAACAAACTTGGGTCATCTAAATAAATAACATATGGGGTCTTTGCCTTGAAAATGACCTTACGGTATATGATACCATAAGGTCATTTTCAAGGCAAAGACCCTATATTTCGCATTTTCTATTATTAATTATTCATATATGATATCTAAAATAATTTTTATGCTACGTAATTGCCTCGGACTAAGATGATAGATAATTTGTGGCTACTGTACGTACTAACTAGAGGTGGGCAAAATTAATACGTATTTCCGTCCGTATCATATGATTAAATTTACACATATAATAGGTAATATATATATATAATGTATATATATAATAAATAATATATATATAATGTATATATATAATAAATAATATATATTAAGTAAGGGATAAGTAATGTCATTATTACTTACAAAATTACTTTGCCCATCCATACTACGAACACAATTTGTTAGAATTTTGTTTGTCGGGATTTGACCAAAAAACCGAACACATCATATGCTTGATGATATTCATTTCCAATAAAGATTGATATATTGATCATATATAGTAAATTCTATTGATAAGAAAATATATATGAAATAATAAAGGGTTTACATTGTAAAATAAGAAGTATACATTGTAATAATAAAACCTTAGCCGTGTACTATACACAATCTATTAAAGGCGACCTGTACGCCCCGTTTATCAAAAGGTATACAAATTGTCATAATCTAAATTTCCCGAACTTTGTTTTTTTAG